TACAGATTAGAAGCTCCAACGATACGAGATTAATCCATCAAACTCATTGACCAAGTTAATCAACATTCGTTAACTACGAGTCACTTCACTAAAGACCCGCAGTTGCACTCTTCTCACTGCAGAATATTTTCGTGTCCACGGATATACGACCATTAATGACAAGTCAATCCTTCACGAGTACTCGTAAATCAACTTGGATCAAATTACCGTTTTACCCCTGAGTTACATCTTACTCCTTAAATACCACTGCTCCTCTAATGAACAACCCAGTTATGGTCCGACCAATAACCGGAAGTATCTCTTGGGCCAATGAGAGGGTGGGCGTCCTTCTTCAAGTCCCGGAGTCAGCATTTAAAAGAACACTCATCTACTCCCCTAAAATCGGGGATGAGTGAATTCCATCTTGTGAAGTTATGTTCCTAGCTCCCCACTCGATCTCGTCCCCAAAATGGTAGGAATATTGAGTCGGAAACTTGGGTCACTCTCACCCATACATATCAAAGGACGAGCCCTCACGGGCAAGAGTCCATAACTCACTAAGGATTGAGAATGAGTAGTTTGGTCATCCTATGAAATAGCAATCTGTTAGTCAACAGCATTACATCTAAAGATTGTTTATTTCGCAGTCCGGTCTTATACAAACTCATTGTATGGCCCCATTCGACTTTACCACATTGAAGTGGACCATCAGGTTCAGAACGTGTTCTCACACTGAGGAGCTCTTCTTCATGCGAGATTTGTAAATGAACTTAAGGGCTTCTTGTCGAGCATGTGAGGACGGTTGTTCAAACAAGCTCTACAGCGAGTCCAGGATCTTCCCTTCTTAGCAAACACATCAGATATACTCACCAAGATGTAGACTTTAACCTTGTCATGGCCTTGATTCATCTGTCATAGACGTTGTGCAACGCTAAGTTGCGTTAGGTGCAAGAGCTTGAGGACAATCCTCTTGCAAGACGAACCTAAGATCATCTATCACGAGTATAATGTTTAGATTCGATTTTGATTGTTTGTAATTATCGTCGTTAAGTTTTTCCGTGGCTAACAAGGCAATAAAAGAAGTAGACATGCTGAAAGTAAAAACAAACATATATTAGTTTCATGCATTATCCTTTAAACCCAATCAAATTTTAGCAAAATTAATTAAGCACCCAAACAAAATTGTTTTGCAACGATGCTATAGTGATTTAGAGCAACAACCACCGTAGGGCAGACAGCTACCCCTTCACTAAATTGAGACGTTCTTAACTAAATATTACACCAGAGTAACTCTTATTTCTATAACCTTTAGTCATCATTTATTCGGTTAGAGAATCGCTAATTAGCTTAACAACTCCCCGTAAGTGTGACCCACCATTTTCGAATCTCGGAGGTCCGCTCCAATAATTCCGTCATAGGGAAGGAAAATATTGGAGACAAAACTTAAGAGACCCTTATCCATTTATGGAGTTTATCCTCGTTTTGATTCCATACAATGAACCCTCCGTAGGGATGGTCGCTCCAGGATGACACGCAGATCATGTATGAAATCTCACGATGCAAACCATGGAGACCGTAGGATGTGTTGTCACACGTCCTTCTCCCACTTACTATGAATACTATCTTCATTCACCTCGATATTGAACCATGCAAACACCTTCCGTAGGGAGGTCGCGCCCAGGACGACATGAGGCCGAGCATGGAACTTGCTGTGTGAATATAAAAGAGAGACGTGAGAGAAAAAAAATGTCATATATACATTGTATATCAAAAATATACTTGGTATATAAGACATTCTCTTTTGTTCCCACTTAGTATTCTAAGACTAGGGTATATTACTTAGTTAAATCCCAGCTAAGTGAAATGAACTAAGTGAATTTTTAGTCGGCCCAATATAACTATTTATATTGGAAGTTGTACACTAATGTTTTAGTTTATCAAACGTTTTAATAAACTAATGACATTATTGCATGTATATAAAATATTGACTAATTAAACTAAGAGGTTCTGAGGTAGAGGTGTTCCCTTACGGTCAGCTTAAATACCTCAACCTAGACAAAACCTTCCTTAGACAGGGTTCCCTTATAGGCAATATTTTGTATTTAGTCTTTTATCATTTCATTTTAAACCTAGTTAAAACAAAATAAAAGACTACCCCTAATCATATTAGAAGATATAAACTAAGGTCTAATTAATTTTACACCCCTTTAAAATTAATTAACCTAGACTCTATATTTGCATGCAACTCCTTATTATATATTTTAATTTCTATCTACCAAATTTAAAACTCTTATAAAATTTAAGACATTAAAAGTATAAACATGCATTGATGACATACATTAATATAACAATTATATTATCCAAAATAATGTCATGCTCAATGCAACTTTATTTTCATCTAATTAATACAACACTTATATTAATTATGAAAATAAAACATGCATTCATACATTATAACATTTATAACTATATGATGCATGATAATACATACATGATATATATCAAATATACATATTATGCATGTATCCTATGGTGGGATTTTAAAAATATATGGCATACATTATGCAATATACATTTAATTAAAATATACATTCAAAATGCATGAATAATTAAATAGCAAAGTTGGACCGAATTTTGGCAGCCTAAGAAAGCAAAATAAAATTAAAAAAATAGAAGAAAACGCCTGAAACAACACTCGAACCGCGAATCGGGACATCGAAACAGTTCGGAAAACACCCGAGGTAGCGCCGTAGCAGTACTGCAGCAAACTGCAGCAGCTGCAGCGCCGTGACACTGTGTGATGTTCTTCGACAGCACCATGGCGCTGTAGCATAACGTCATGGCACTTCCTGCGCGAACTTGGTCAAAAGATCTACAACTACCCAAATCACAGTAAATCCCTTAATCGTCCTTGGTAGTCTTGTAATGAAGTCCATAGCCACATCGTCCCACTTCCAAACTGGTATGCTCAAAGGTTGCAGCAATCCAGCAGGTCTCTGTCTTGAAGCCTTTACCTGCTGGCATGTCAAACACTTGCTAACAAACTGAGCTATTTCCCTCTTCATGTTATGCCACCAATAATGTCTCTTGAGGTCTTGAAACATCTTGGTGCTTCCTGGATGAATCGAGAATAGGGCATTGTGTGCCTCTCCCAGTTAGTCCTTCCTCAAAGGATAATCTTTTCGCACACACAACCTTCCGCGAAAAAGCAAGGCTGCCTCACCCGAAAGAGTGAAATCTCCATGGCCCACCATACTAAAGCCTTTGGCCAAACTAGGATCTTCCTTTTGAGCAACAATGATTCTCTGTCTCAGGCTAGGTTCCACTGAGAGTCGGGCCAACAACGCTGAGACATCATCCACTGTCAGCTCCACCTCCCAGCGTTCCAACTCGCTGTGTATTGGACTGCAGGCCGCTACTAAATATGCCACACTTGCCGCCTTTCTACTAAGAGCATCGGCCACAACGTTCGCTTTACTCGGATGGTAACTAATCTCACAATCATAGTTCTTCACCAACTCTAGCCACCGTCTCTGTCTTAAGTTAAGCTCCTTCTGAGTGAAAAGGTACTTCAAACTCTGATGATCAGTGAAGACCTGAATTCTCTCTCCGTATAGGTAGTGCCTCCATATCTTTAAGGCGAAAACTACTGCTGCTAGCTCTAAGTCATGAGTGGGGTAGTTAAGCTCATGCACCTTTAGCTGTCGAGAAGCATAAGCTATAATTTTCCCATGTTGCATCAGAACACATCCCAAGCCCTTTCGCGAGKCGTCACTGTAAACCACCAAACATTCCGTTTCATCGGGGACAGTTAACACCGGTGCAGACACCAAACGCTTCTTTAGTTCTTGAAAAGTCTCCTCACACTCGCTGCTCCAAGTGAAGGTAGCATTCTTACTAGTCAACTGCGTCAACGGTGCCGCTAAACGAGAGAAATTCTGGATGAACTTCCTGTAGTAACCAGCCAAGCCGAGGAAACTATGAATCTCTGTAACTGAACTAGGTCTTGGCCAATTGCTAACAGCCTCTACCTTGGCGGGGTCTACTGCAATGCCATCCCTGGTGACTATGTGACCTAGGAAAGCCACTTTGTCCAGCCAAAATTCACACTTTGAAAACTTTGCATACAACTTATTTTCTCGTAGTGTAGTCAAAACCTGCCTGAGATGGTCCTCGTGACACTCCTCAGTCTTGGAGTAAATCAGGATGTCATCAATAAACACAATAACAAATGAATCTAAGAAATCCCTAAAAACCCGATTCATTAGATCCATAAAGGCTGCCGGAGCATTAGTGAGTCCAAAAGACATCACGATAAACTCATAGTGCCCATACCTCGTTCTGAAAGCTGTCTTTGGAATGTCGGCCTCCTTTAACCTTAACTGGTGGTACCCCGAACGCAAGTCTATCTTCGAGAACACTTTCGTTCCCTGAAGCTGATCAAAGAGGTCATCAATGCGTGGTAGGAGATACTTATTCTTAATCGTCACTTTGTTTAGTTCCCGGTAGTCTATACAAAGTAGCATAGAACCGTCTTTCTTCTTAACAAATAGCACGGGCGCACCTCAAGGGGACACGCTCGGGCGGATGAAACCCTTGTCGAGTAATTCTTCTAACTGTAACTTTAGCTCTTGCAACTCTGCCGAAGCCATTCGATATGGTGCTTTCGAGATGGGGGCCGTCCCTGGCAGCAACTCTATACAAAAGTCCGCTTCGCGAAATGGAGGCAAACCGGGAAGATCCTCAGAGAACACGTCAGTGAACTCATTAACCACACGAACCGCCTCAATGCTTGGAACAACCTTCCTTGCATCCACCGCGCTAGCCAAATAGGCCCAAGCACCACGCTGGAGAAGATAGCTGGCCTTCAATGCCGACACCACCCTTGGGACCCCGGCCTTAACTCCTTTAAAGGTAAAGTTTTGTCTGGAGGGCAAGCGAAAACTAACTTCCTTCTTCGAACAATTAATATTAGCCTGGTTAGCAGCTAACCAATCCATGCCTAGTATCACATCGAAATCCTACATATCCAGTTGAATTAACTTTACCTCCAAGGTCTGACCATCGAAAGAGAGTTGGCCTCCTTTCACCACTTGGCTAGTAACCAACACAGATCCTGACGGTGTGGATACCGACAACAAAAAGCCTAACGATTCTAGCTCTAGGTCCGCATGTCGAACAAAGGTAGAAGAAATGAAAGAATGACTAGATCCAGAGTCAAATAATGCGTAAGCAGGTATACTAAGCACTAAAATAGTTCCTGCAAAAGTAACACGCATGCAATAAAGCACAAACATATACACATAACTCAAGACTCACAGAGAGAAGGTACCTCTGACCACCGCCTCGGCATGCTCAACATCCCCCCTGGTGAGAGGAAAGATGCGCGCCCTCTGGGTTCCACCTTGAGTTGCAGTTGCCGCAGGGGTCTTCTGGCCTAACGCTTGGGTATTCGAGCCGGTCATCGGACACTCCCTTGCGAAATGTCCTTCCTTCTGGCACTTGAAACATATTATTTTTCCCAACCAACATGGCCTAGCATGGTTCTTCTTACAAGAGGGGCACACCGGAGGAACAGTCTGTCTTTGCGCATGGTGCTGGTGTCTTCTTGAGGATTGACTGGCGGAGAACGATGCAAATTTCCTCTTGACCCCCGAGCTTGAGCCTATTACCTGCTGAGACTGAGGCTCCTCGAGACATTTGTCCATAACCAACGCACACCTGACTGCCGCTGCGTATGTAGTTGGTTCCTTAAGAACAAGTAGCCCCTAGATCTCCCTACGCAAACCGTCAATGAACTTGTCAATCTTTAATTGCTCAGTAGGAATATATTGCATTCCAAAACGGGACAGCTCAGTGAACTTCCTTTCGTATTGGGCCACGTTTAGGCTCCTTTGAGTGAGATGGAGGAACTCTGCCCGTTTTTCATTCCTGACAGTCACGGGGAAATAGTACTGATAAAGTAGGTCCTTAAATCTTGCCCACATGACGGGTACGTTGGCGAGATCCTCCGCTGCCGCCACCGACTCCCACCAATTTACTACTTCTCCCCGAAGCATAAAAATTGCTCCCCGGACCTTGAAATCGTCGGAGCATCCTAAATACACATAAAGGGCTTCCAGCTCCCTGACCCATTCCTTGGCTGCAGTAGGCCTCTCACTCACCCCGTTGAAAACGAGTGGCCCAAAGCTTTTGAAATCCTGATAAACTGGACCTCATCTTGCGGAATTTGTGCCCGGCGAGGCTGCTGCACTTGAGCTCCACCGGCTCCATTCGCATTATCTAGTAGTACTTGCAATGCCTCAGCTAGCAACGCCACCTGGGGAACTCCCTGAAGGGATGTGAATCACGGAGCGGAAGCGGACTTTCGTTGCTGATTTTCGGGATACAAAATCAATTTTGCAAAGAAGGAAAATACAGAGGAAATTCAAACCTTTGAAGATCGTTTCTTCAGTGAATTCCCCTCGAACACCACCACCGGATCTTCCTCGCTATCCTCTTGGGTCTCGGGATCGTGCTCGTGGTAGCACCTTCATAGAAGAGAGGGAGAGTTTGAGAGAATTTTGAGAGAGAGATGTGGGAGTTTCTTTCTTGGTCTGTTCTGTAACTTTTTTCTTCTCCTGCTTCTCCAACACTTGGACAGGAAGAAGAAAGGTGACGTGGGGTAACTCCCCACGTCACAACTCTTCCCACTCCCCTGCAATTTTGTAGGGGAGTTAATATTAATAATAATATTATTAATATTATTAATATTAATATATGTATATATAATATATATAATAATAATTAAAATATATATAATAATATATATATAATAATTAATATATATATATAATTAATTAATCAAATTAATTAATATAATTAATTATTAATCCAATTAATAATTAATAAATATATATATACATAAATAATTAACACTTAATTTTTCAAAAAAAAAAAAAATCAACACTTAATTATTTATTATAAAATTAGAATCATATTCTAAAACATTTCTCTCGTATAACCTATAGTTTTAATGTACATCCTATGCACATTATTTTTAACCTATAGTTTTAATATGAATCTCATTCATATTAATTTTATTTGAATCTCATTCAAATAATATCTCTCATAATATATAGTTTTAATTTACAATTAACTATATATATTATAATGTATCAATATACATATAATCCCTTAAGTAATTTGAACAATTCAAATTCTTCCAAAAAATTTGATCCTCGTTTCACCCGTTATGAGCTAGCGAGGAGACCTAATGGACCTACAGATCCGAAGCTCCAACGATGCAAGATTAATCGGTCAAACTCATTGACCGAGTTAATCTAGATTCGTTAACTACGGGTCATTCCACTAAAGACCCGCAGTT